TCACAGGGTGAGTAGAAACAACTCTTTTTGAGTGTACTGGCCACTTGTTCAATGAATGTAACAACATGTTAGGTGTCATCAGCCTCATTTCTGGTTGCTTGAGCAAAGCAAAATTTATACTGTCATGTTCATCTGTCTCTTCCCCTTTGGAGAACCCGAAGAGGCTGTTTTGCCTGGGAAGGCTATGAGACTGCTCATTGTTAGCACATATAACCCCTTCACAGGGTCAACGGAACACTTACATTCATGTTCATCATAGTTATGTTCATCTGCATCGTCTTTTTTGAAAAGTGTGAAGAGAGTTGTTTTGCTTGGAAAAGCTCTGAGACTGCTCATCGCCAAACTAGATAATCCTTTCACAGGGTTTTGCTTAAAGCAGCTAAAAAAAAAAAATCTAATGAAGAAGAAAATAGCTTGCTTAGTAACAAATTCTAAAGGGTTAACAACTGCTAGATGGAGGTTGATACTGCAACTTCCAGCCACAGCCCTGAAGTCACCAGGTGGTTAATGAACAAAACCTTAGCTTACCAAAAAACAGGACATGCGGAAAATGTTTTAAGAAGAGCAACAAAAAGGAATCTGGTACAGAATTACAATAATATTCTGCAATGTGTGGGCAGCACAGTGGCTAAATGGTTAGCACTTCCACCTGGCAGTACTAGCGTTGTTGGCTCAAATCCCAACCACAGCACCACGTGCTTGGAGTTTGCATGTTCTCCCTGTGCCTGCATGGGTTTCCTACCACACTCCAAAGACATGCTGGTAGGTTAATTGGATCTAGGGGGGTGCTGGTGTGGGCTAAGCCCACCCAAATTTAAGTTGCACCCCCCAAAGCCAACTTCCACCCTGGACACTGTACCTGTCTGCTGAATGATACTTCAGACAGCTGCAGCTTCTCCCCTGCAGCTTTGTAACCATAGTAAATGTACTGCCCAGTTGATCATCAGGTCAGTGGGGTGGAGGAGGCTGTCTGCACCTCTCCCCTGTCATCTAATACAGGTCAGCTATCCCTCAGTACTCTTCACTATCCTCTGAGGTTGGTGGGTGTGGCCAGGGGTATGGGTGACTCCTTCACTCAGGAAGGGGAAAAGTGGATACAGCAGCCCTGGGAAGTCTTCAACACCAGCCATGCTGTAAATAACTGAGCACGCTGTCATTACACACTGCCTCAGCCCTCCCACTATACAGCCCCTGCCCTCCCACTATACAGCCCCAGCCCTCCTACTGCACTGTCACTATACTGCCCAAGCCAGCCACTATAGTGCTCTAACCTGCCACTATACTGCCCTAATCTGCCATAGCCTGCCATTAAACTGCTTTACCTCGGCACTGTACTTCCCTTACCTGCTTCTAGCCTGCCACTATGCTGAACTAGCATAACCACATCTCTCTTATATGTGCGTGATTAAAGTATAGCATTAGGTTATGGTCAAAAGGTCCCCAGCTCATAATTGCAGAGCTACTATTTATGGCAAGTTGCTGCTGGTGCATCATGGCCACCATTGAATTCCATCATGTGTGGTGTCAAAATGAGACCCCGCTGGGCTAAAAGCTGATCTTCTGCCAAGAGAACCATGGCTGATATGATGACCTAAAGTGCCCATAAATTCTCCAAGGCTGAGGACCACAAAGTCGAGGATATACACAAGAAACATGTTTGAATTTTCTCTGCCAAAGGGAAGCCAATAGGTTAATGCCGTTATCACACACAACATTTCTTGACTACAGTATGGTGTCAGCCACCTCTCAAGCCTTGGCCTGAATTGCTGGCAGCTGCTCTAGCTCAGTGACCCCCAGGTATACCAGCTGCAACATAGCATGGCAGCTGGTACGCCTGTGGGACATACTTAATGCAATCCTGTCGCTGAAAAAGAGATTGAACAAAATTGATGAGAAGGAAGATACTTGATAGCCAGTAGCAGTTATTCACAATAAAATGCACTTGCTCTGTAATGCTGAAGACGCTTCACTGCCTAACCAAGTCACTTCTTTCATTTCTGAAGCTGCTTGATTAAGTTGGAAAATGCCTACGTTACAGAACAAGTACAGTGAGACACGACTACTACTAGTGGTACCATGACCTGGATGAATAAGGACCTTCACAGACAAGTTACTTTATACTTACTTGGTCCAGTGCTTGTTCATGGATTTTTTCTTTGTTGCAGTGCTGCACCTTCTAAAGAATCAATATGGGTGTGTCAGCTGATTGTGTTCTCTGCCAGGCTCTGTGGTTCCTCCTGCCACCCCACCACTTCTACTTACAGCCTGCACATGAAATTTTAAAACAAGCTCACAGCTTAATGCCATGTAGTGTTGTACAGGTCAGTAAAGATTCATTTTAAAGTGTATCCAAACCCAAGGCTACAATGTGATATACTGCAGCTTACCCCCTTAGATAACGTGACTGCATTAATTTTCCTTTTTCAGCCTCTTTTTCCTCTTTATTTTCATCTGGTTATTCTGAAGACAGCACATGTCCTGCCCTGGGTGACTAAGTTTTCTCAGTCCACTCACACTGTACTACAAATATGTTTTGCTTTGTTCATCTCAAGTTACATGGGTGATGGGGAGATTAGCAATTTATAGAAGAAAGAGAACATATTTTTAGATTGGCACACAGGAAGTGACAAGGACACTGCATTTCTCTCAAAAATAAGAGGTCATTTCTGTACTTGCTAGAAATGTTCTTAGCCTGAAACATCCAAAAACTGTTAAGCTGTAATACATTACAGTGTCGTTATTAAGGTTGGATATCCTTTACCTTTAAAATGTCTCCACTGAACCTAGGAGCCCCAATCCCTTGTAAGTCATTTCTGACTGAGAAAGTCAATCTTAAAAACATTCCACCATGTGCTACCATGCAATAGAAATCCGAAGGTGCAGTGAAAGTGCTTTGAAGACAACGGGATTGATTTACTAAATCTAAAGAGTGGAAGATCTGGTGCAGCTGTGCATAGAAACCAGTCAGCTTCTAGTTCTTTTTTTTGTGAAAGCTTAAATTGAACAAGCAGCTTTGCATAGAAACCAATCATTTAGAAGCGGATTGGTATCTATGCAGATCTGCACCAGATTATACATTTTCAAAAATCAATCCCAATATCGGTATTCTGCAGGGATGACATCAATTAACAGAATATTCTGTATAGTTTAACCAATTCAATACCGTGCAATTTTACACCTTCCTGCCCAGGCCATTTTTCAGGTTTCAGCGCTCTCACACTTTGAATGACAATTGCGCAGTCATACAAGATTGTACCCAAACTAAAATTTTATCATTTTCTTCACACAACTAGAGCTTTCTTTTGGTGGTATTTAATCATCAGTGGGGTTTTTATTTTTTGCTAAATTAACAAAAAAGACCGAACACTTTTGAAAAAAAAAAAACACGTTTTTCTTTGTTTCTGTTATAAAAGTTTGCAAATAAATAATTGTTCTTCATAAATTTAGGCCGAGATGTATTCTGCTACATGTCTTTGGTGAAAATAACCCAAATTAGGATGTATTTTTTTGGTTGTAGGAAAGTTATAGAGTTCACAAACTACTGACAGCCAATCTAATTTCTTGAGGTCCAAGAATGTCAGAACAGTACAGATATCCCCCAAATGACCCCTTTTTGCAAAGTAGACAATCTGACCTACTTCATAAGAGGCATGGCGAGTTTTTTGAAGTTGTATTTTTTTGTCATAATTTTTTGGAAAATGAAAAAAAAATTTATATATATTTTCACTATTTGTTTTTTACATACTGTCACCAGTGCAGTACAGTGTCATCATATAACTGGCATGGCGGTGATCAGGGACACTGACTGGTGACAGTGTGAAAAAAAAAAAAAAAAAAAAAATATATATATATATATATATATATATATATATATATATATATATTATTTTTTTTTTTAATTTTTTATTAAATTTTTTTTTCTTTAAGATTTTTTTTTTCATATTTCACTATGTCCAAAGTAGTACAATGTTACCATAGTAACATTGTACTACTTTGGGGAAGTGATCAGTATTTTTTTTTTTTTTTTTTTTTTACACAATTTGCTTATAGTAAAGAATTACTTTGCTATAAGCAAGCATTTACCTGAATGACATCGATTCATTCAGGGGTTTTTTTTTTTGTGCTTAGCTGTGATTTGGCCACAGCTAATCACATGACATGTGCATGTGATTAGCTGTGACCATTCACAGCTAGACACTAGTATACAATGGATGGCATGAATGAAGCCATCCATTGTATACAACTGTCATGTGACCTGCTGTGATTGGTCACAGCAGGTCACATGGTACTGGCAACGGGGGCCGGTACTCAGATCTGTCATCGGCCGTGTCCGAGGTACACGGCCGGTGACAGCTCGCGCCTTGCGCGGTTGTGCAAGCACGCGAACTGCGCATGTGCGGGAGGACGCCATATGGCGGCCTCCCGGAAAGCTAATACATTTTTACGGACACCATTTGGCCATAGGCCGGGCGTCAAATGGTTAACATGATGTTAATATATATAGGTTTGGTTTATTATTCAGATCCAATAGGATCACATGGCATGCAGTGATGGACATGTCAGGAGAACAGAAAATTATAAACAGAACATAACAGACAATTTTGTTGGAAATGATACAGAAGTATAGGGGGGAAATCTAGATCTGGACCATGTCACAATCCATATCTGGTCTTGGTATCACAAAACACACACTGTGAAAGTCAGGTGGACTTATATTTGAGAATATAATATACCACAACAAAGAGATATTTTACACTGGGAAAGGTATTTTTCAGGATACTAAATGAATAAAAAGAGGAATCGTGATTAAGGCTTCAACGGTTTACCGTTCCCTTGCTGTCCAGAAAATCCATAAAGATTCATTGTATGCCCAACCAGCAGGAGGGTTCTCCATAGCTGCTACCTTGGGGGTCCACAGAAATGAGCCTCTGGTCATTACATAAAGTCTTTTCACGTATACTATTAAGTGCTCAGCCATACATCTTAATGTGGAGCTGCAATTAACACACAGCATTTAATGTGGTGCAATCTCCAGGCCCTTGTCTACTTGTAGAGTAATCCCACGGCCGCCTGTTTTCTGCAAATCCAAACATCTTCCTTAAGGCCACCCGAGCTGCCTCCTCTTCTGCAGCAAAAATGGTCTCTCCTGGTCCCTCTGCAATTAACTGCTTATTGCTGGAGAATGGAAAGGAAAATGGTCTGTCATTAACACATGGATTAAAGCTGTACTGTTCAGTATATGTTCACCAGATGTCATTAATTATATTATTTATATAAACCAACAGGTATCTCTGTGCGTACATGATTCTGTTGTCAGAATTTTCTTTGCCTAGCAAAAATATAGAAATGCATACACTTGTATGGAGATCACATAAGGCACTGTTTAAATTCTCCCTTAAAGCCCACCTCTGTGCAAAATGTTCCAAAACAAAGGTCAATATAAACAAAGGTTTAAACAAAAGGTGAATTTAGCCTTTAACCCTTTCACTGCCAGAGCCATTTTTGCATTTATTTTTTTTTGCACCCATTTAAAAATAATTTTAGGCCTGAAGATTACACAAAACCCCAAAACATTATACATTCTCTTAAAGCAGACAACCTACAGCAGGGGAAGGCAACCTTTCAGAGGTTGAGGTCTACCTGGACAACATGGAGTAAAGCAAAGATCCCGGGGGGAGGGGTTTAATAGGTGGCACCCTTATAAAAAAACATTACTCCCCCACAGTAGTGTCCTGTGTTCTTCTTTATACATCACCCCCCAATGCAGTGTCCTCTGCCCCCTTTTCATCACCCCTCCCTACTGTAGTATTCTTTGCCCCCCCCTTTCCCTTACAGTAGTGTCTTGTACCCCCCCCCCCCAAAGCAGTGTCCTGTACCACCCCAATGCAGTGTCCTCTGCCCCCTTCACTCCACATCCCCCCACCGTTGTAACATATGCACACTCCCGCCCCCCTCCACAGTGTCTCCTAAGTCCCCCCCCCACAGTGTCTCCTGTGTTCCCCCTCCCATAGCATCTCCTAAGCCCCCCCCCCCCCCACACACAGTTTCCTGTGTTCTCTTCATATAACACACACACAAGTAGCACAGACTGTCAGCATGTGTAGAGCAGAGTGGAGATCAGATGACACACAGTGCTGGGTGGAAGGCACAAGCAGGAGCTGCCAGAGTTCATAATCTGGTGATTGGTTGCTAGGACAGCCTAGCAACCAATCACTGAGCAGCTTCCACCCCCGCCTTCCATCCAGCACTATGGTGCCTCCTCCTCTCCGATCTGCCTGTAACATGAGACTGGAGGAGACAGAACCGGGGTCACGATCGATCTGTTGGCTTCCTGCAGTTGACTGGTTGATCGTGATTGACGGCTTACCAACCTCTACCCTAGAGAATAAGTGGTAGTTCCAATTTTTTATGTCACACAATATTACCACAAAAGGTCTAGGAAACTCTAGATTTCAGAAAAAAAAAAAAAAAAACACACTAAAGTAAATTTTAGGGTAAACAAACCCAATAAATTACCCAAAACGTTTGGGAAAATATAAAAGATGAGGTTGCCTCGAGTAAATAGATACACAACATGCCAAACCTTAAATTTGTGTGTGCCTATGAAATGGTGACAAACTTCAGTATCCTATATTTTCTACAGGCAATGCTTCAAAAGCCCCTGTAGGTCATCAGTTTAACGTTACAGAGGAGGTCTTGTTCTAGAATTATTGCTCTCACTCTCTTATGTTCTTAACTATTTTTTCATAGCATGGGGACACAAAGTCCTCTATGTGATGATTTTAGGTACAGGTCCTCTTTTTTGAGACATGCAGGTTCTAAAAGACATCTGGACAAGCAAGGCCTGGAAACATGGCAGGGGCGCATGCGCTGGGGGGTGGGGCACCGGCGGCAGCACAGCAGCTCGACTGCTGCTTCAACCTGACAGGCAGGAGTCTACTTGTCAGTTTTATACACAATATCGGTGGCTGCAGCCATCAGATTGTGTATAAAACCCCCTGCTGTCAGGTCCCTATGACGTACAGACCTGGTGGTGAAAGAATTAACCAGTTACAGATTCTGGGCGTGTTAGATACGCCCAAAAAAGTCATAATTGTACACAGGGCATATGCAACACATGCAGTCCTTTTACCCTGCTGCTAGGACCTCTCCTGTCCCAGTGACTAATCAAAGCAATTGCCCTCCACAGAGAGAGTTCTGACAGCTGGAGCTGTCAAAGAAAAGCAGTCTGGCAATGTTTATCAACAACATTGCTCAACCATGAATACAGAAACATAAAGAAACAATGTTTCATTTTGTATCTTTCTGTGTATTCATCTACAGATCTAAGCTAAGGAATGAAATTTCATCTGCAGATAAAGTCAGTTAACCACTTGCCTTCCAGAGGATTTACCCCCCCCCCCCCCCCCCCCCCTTCCTGACCAGGCCGACTGACAATTGTGTGGTCTTGCAACGCTGTACCCAAATAAAATTTACGTCCTTTTCTCCCCACAAGTAGAGCTTTCTTTTGATGGTATTTGATCACCTGTGCGTTTTTTAGTTTTTGCTATAAACAATTTTGAGAAAAACATAATATTTATGACTCTTTGCTATTAACCACTTGCTAACTGCGCCATAGCTGAATGACGGCTACAGTGCCGTTATCCAGTTCTGGGCGGGCGTCATATGACGTCCTCCCAGAATGTACCCTCCCACGTGCCCCCAGCGATCACTGTGATTGCTATGTCCTACGGACACAGCTGATCACGTGATGTGGTAAAAGGTCAATTACAGCAGTCTTTTACCACGTGATCAGCTGTGCCCAATGACACAGCAGATCACCGAGTAAATACAAGTTGCCTGTTATCGGCAGCACTTTCCTCACAGCGTGAGGAAAGTACTGCCGATAACCAGCAGCTGTCACAGAGCAGATCAGCACTGATCATCAGGGCACTGATGATCAGTTCCCTGCAGTGCCACCTATCAGTGACCAGCAGTGCCGCATATCAGTGCAGCATCATCAGTGCCTCCTCATCAATGCCCACCAGTGCCACCTCATCAGTGACTATCAGTGCCGTCTCATCAATGTACATCAGTGAAGGAGCAACATGTTATAATAAAAATAAAGAAACTTTTTTTTTTTCAAATTTTTTGCTCTTTGTTTATAGTGCAAAAAAATTAAAATACCCAGTGACAATTAAATACCACCAAAAGAAAGCTATATTTGTGTGAAAAAAAATTATAAAGATTTCATATGGATACAATGTTGCATGACCGGGCAATTGTCATTCAAAGTTCAACAGTGCTGAAAGCTGAAAATTGGCCTGGGCACAAAGGGGGTAGAAGTGCCTAGTAGGTAAGTGGTTAAACATGTCCAGTAGAAAACATTTTAAAACCTCAAATTTTGTCATAAATTTAGGGGAAAATGTATTCTGCTCCATGTCTTTGATAAAAAAAAATCCCAATACGTGTAAATTAATTTGTTTATGGCAAAGTTATAGCGTTTACAAATGGCGGTATATGTACTGGAATTTCCTTCTTTTTTTTTTACTAGTAACGGCAGCAACCAGCGACTTATAGTGGGACTGTGGCGGGCATGCTGACACTGGGGGGAACTGACTTGGTATAACTGACATCCCCCGAGATGCCAATACAGTGATCAGTGCTAATAAAAAGCACTGACACTGTACTAATGGCACTGGGCAGGAAGGGGTTTACATCTGGGGCAATCAAAGGGTTAACTGCATACTGTGTGTGTTTCACTATGTGGGCTGTGTGTGCTTTCCACTGTATGCACACTGCTTTGTATGGCTCTGCTATGCAGAGCCATACAAAGCAGTGTGCTGGAGCTGAGAGAACTGTATTGTGTACATACAGTTCTCCCCCCCGTCGGTATTACTTGGCGATCACTGGGTGCCGGCGAGTAATCACTGGCTGGGACCAGGTGATTGACAGCCGAGGCCACGAATGGCGGCGCGTTTAGGGTACGTGAGCGCCCCCTACGTGGAAATGCAACATCAAGTATATATACGTGATTTTGCGCACCCCTGCTGCCCTGTAGCAGTATTTCTGCTAAAGGGTGGCAGTAAAGCATAGATAGTCTGGCTGAAAAAAGATAAGTCCATCCAGTTCAACCATTAAAAAAAAAAAAGTTATAATCCTATACCCACAGTTGATCCAAAGGAAGGCAAAAAAAACCCCAGCAAAGCATGATCCAATTTGCTCCTGCAGGGACACAAAATTCCTTCCTGATCCCCCAAGAGGCTATTGGATATTCCCTGGATCAACTTTATCACTTGGCTACCGGACACTTTTACCCCCATCCTGCCCAGGCCAAATGTTCAGTTTTTAGTGCTGTCGCACTTTTAATGACAATTGCACGGTCATGCAACACTGTAGCCATATGACACTTTTATAATTTTTTCTCACAGAAATAGAGCTTTCTTTTGGTGGTATTTAATCACCACTGCTGTGTTTTTTTTCAAAATAAACGAAAAAAGACTGAAAATTTAGAAAAAAAAAAATTTTTCTTAGTTTCCATTATAACATTTTGCAAACAGGTACAGTTTCTCTTTCACTGATGTGCACTGATGAGGCTGCACTGATGAGGTGGCACTGGTGGGCATTAATAAGGAGACACTGATGAGGCTGCACTGATATGTGGCACTGATAGGTGCCAATGATGGGCACTGATAGGCAGCGTTGAAGGGCACTAATAGGCGGAACTGACTGGCAGCACTGATGGGAACTGACTGGCAGCACTCCTGGGCACTGTTGAGGCTGCACTGATAATCAGGGCACTGAAAATTAGTGCCCTGATTATCAGTGCAGATGTCTCCTTTCACACTTACTGGTCATTGGTAGTACTTTCCTCACGCTGTGACAGCGTGAGGAAAATGCTGCCGATAACTGGCAAGTGTGTTTACATCGTGATCAGCTGTGAATGGACACAGCTGATCACGTGGTAAACGGCCGCTATGATTGGGCCTTTACCGTGACATGTCGCGTCCTAAGGACATAGCGATCACAGTGAGTGCCGGGTGTGTGTTGCAGCAGACGCGGGTTTCAGGGAGGACATATGACGCCCTTCCAGAACTGGACGATCGCGCTCTTGTGCGGTCAGCAAATGGTTAAACTAACACTGCTCAAAAAAAAAAAAGTGTGTTGTGTTACAATTGTTTAAGTATTGCGAAAAAAAAATCATTGTTACAAGACAATATTCAGGAATAGAAAGCCTTGTTTGTCCTTAAAAAAAAAAAGTATTAAGTTTTTATCTTAAGTAATGACAAAGTTATCGCCAAATAAACAGGCCCATATCAGAAATGTAAAGATTGCTCTGGTCCATAGGGGGTGAACAGGTGTTAGAGAAGTTAAAGTGTTACTAAACCCACAACAGTAAAATCAGTCGGTATATGCAGTAAAGTATGGGTGCTCAACCTGTGGTCCTCCAGGTGTTGCAGAACTACAAGTCCCAAGAGGCATTGCAAGGCTGACACTTACAAACATGACTCCCAAAGGCAGAAGCATGATGGGACTTGTAGGGCCACAAGTTGAGCACCCATGCAGTAAATCATGCTTGTTATACTCAATGTGGAACCTAAGGGGTTAATCCCCTGCACTGTGTAAAAAGGCTGTTTGATGCTGTCTTCTCTGGTCCTCCCCTTCTTTTACTGCCCAGCAATCCATCTGCCATATACAGATCAGTAGTGGCAAGTCTGCACATTCTCTGTATGATGTGTATTGTTAGAGTGTTTTTTTGGTAGGGAGCATGTGATCGGCACAGGGCCAATCAGCACTGTTTGGACAGAGGGTTTAGGGGTCATGTAGCCACATAAGACACTCTCAAGACAAAACTCATCCTACAAGATTAACCAGTGCTTGGCTGGTTAAAGGAGATTTTAGTTGTGCGGCTGAACAGATTTGTTCCCTCTTTTCCTCACCAGGCAATTTTCCTCATACCATTCATTTCCTGAACTGTGTACGAATACCATGCACATTTAATCTACAGGACTTATCAAAGAGTAAATAGAAAATACTAACCAATAGAGACCCACAAAATAGACAGGCAGCACAGTGCTGGTTCCAGATTGCCTTGTAAGCCTGGGTTCAGGAGGTGGTACATTTCGCTTTGACAGTTGTTCAACCAACAAAGACATAGGATCCATAACAGACCAGATATCAAACAGATCCTTGCCAATCAGTTCAGGAATGAGGAAATCCTAAAGAAAAAAAAAAAAAAACACAAACCATTAGCACACATTCACAATTTAAAGACAGGGATTGCAATGGAACCGCAAAATTGATATACCTGGAGAAATACCCCAGCTGCATCAGCACCAGAGCTTTGCAGAAGGGCTCCAATAACTCCACAGAAGGTTCTTTGTAGGGTCTCTGGAGACAAAGGACATTCAGAGCTCAGTGTTAGGTCCCCAACCCCAAGATTATTAGCGATATGACACAAAACTTGCTGGCAGGTGAGGTAGTCAACTAATGCTTTCACTCCAACAATAGGGAGGTTAGGGAAGGTTTGTTGTATTGTACTTGTAAGATAAGGAACCGTAAAGTCCAAAGCATGTTGTGCAAGCTCTCTGTTGTCTTGTAGGTTCAAGCTTGCGGTTTCTTTATCTAAACCAAGCTCATGGCGTTCTCTCTCTTCTTTTACCACATAGGAATGGTTCACAAATGCAGTTTTTAGAAGCTCAGTGGCAAAGGATTCATTTAGACGTTTGGAAAAAGCCACAATTTCTGCATGATAGTCAAAGTGTAGCTGCTGGTACCTGTGGAGATACAAGAGGCAGGCAATTATAGAATGGATCTGACACACACACACACACTTCAGCGCTGGGGTTGGACCGCACATTGAAGAGCTCAGAAACAGGACTAAAGGTATTACAGTGTGCAGGCTACACTAAGGAGGAAAACTTAAAGTTTATGTTCATCTTTTCACAAAAAATGAAAAAGTGAACTAACACCCTACGTTCCCCCTGCACTTATCTCCGTGGGTGATTAGCTGCCACTGCCCACTTAGCTGCTGTGGTGGTCCGGAAATTTGAAAGCCCCACTTTTCTTTCCCTTAGTTCCTCAGGGCTTCTGGGATGGATCAGACCCATTCTAATTGGTCAAAGTGGTCACGTGCCAGCATGCGATCAATCATAATCATTCTGATCCGTACTGGAAGCCCTAAAAAAAAAGAAGGGGAAGAACAGGGGCTTTAAAATTCTTGGACAGCTGCATGGTGAAAGGTAATAACCGAGGGGGGGGGGGGGTGTTGGGATGTTAGCTCACCTTTTCTTTTTTGGTGAAAAGGTGAACTTTAATGAATGGTTTCACTAAACTTGAAGTTGTCTTTTAAAGCATAGCTAAAGGCAAAACTTTTTTATCTTAGTTTTGGATAGGGTGGAGTTAGAACAACTGTCAGTTTTTATTGTTGTCTGTGCCCCTATTACCAGCCCTTCTGCTACTGTCCATCCTGAAAAGATCCCCCAACCCGTGCACTTGCAGAAGCTGAAGGGAGAGAAGAGGGGGAAACCAGCAGAGCTGTGGAGGGGGGGCACAAAGGGTACATTAAATCATGCACTAGTACACTAGTAGGGTGAATGATTAGTTCACTGTGGGGGAGGGGGGGGGGCACAGGGAAGTTGATCTCCCTGCAGCAGCTGAAAGCCAGCAGAAGGGAGAGCAGGAGAAGCTGGATTTCAGTGAAAGGGAGAGACACACAGGGGATCAGTGCCTGGAATTGTCAACCCCCCACCGCACTTATCACCCCTTCTCCTGCCCACATTCAATTCACCTGCTGCTTGGGTGCCCCTTTGGCAGCCAGTTTGCTAAATGGACACTCATAGGAAGAAATGGATTGCCAAAGAGGAGGTAAGGGACTGCTCTGTCTAATATCATTACACAAAACAGGTAATTTTAAGGAAAAAAAACTCCATATGCATTTTTAGGCTAGACTTACACCCAACCACTGTGCTGCTATGGTAACATGTATAGTAACACCACACAGTAATGTGAGCTGTGTTATGGGCTGGCAATGCACCTTGATGGCCCAGCCAATGGACCTACACCTTTTCTGGCATGGCCCGTTAGTCTGTTACTATACACTGGGGTGCCATTGAGAATGACAGCAAAGTTCAGCACTAACACAAGTAGAGTACATTTCTACGCCCTCCCATAATGTAATCATGTGAAGGGAACCTCATGCAGAGCACACACCGCCATACATGTGAACAAGGCTCATAGAGAACTATTGTTTTCTACGTGTCCTTGACTGGAGCGTGAATTAGAATGCATAACCCCAATGCACACGTTCATGCGTTTAGAGATGGAGTATAAGCAGGTGCTGCAGCGACCATCGGCTGGAACTGAGAGAAGTCAGAGGAGAAGAATGTCACCAGATCACTGAGGATGGGCCCAAAGCTTTAATAAGCGATCACGTAGTTACAGCAAGAGCAATGTTTCTGAGCTTCGCAGGACCCTTTCATCAGGCAGATGTCATCACAGGCGTGGCTCCGAAACATTGCTCTTGCTGTAACTATGCGATTGCTTATTAAAGTGGAGCTCCACCCAAAAGGGGAAGTTCCGCTTTAAGGACTGCTCCCCATTAAGGATTGGTACCTTTGGGGGCAGGGGGGGAGCGGGTACGTGAATTTGACAGGTACCCGCTCCCACTTCCGGTCCGATCGCCTAGGCGAAAGTGGAAGGTGTTCTCCCTGTAGTCTTGTGGGACATGTGACAGGTCCCAGAAGACTACAGGACCATTCACAAAGAGCAGCGCTACTTGCATATGCGCAGTGGGTACCCGGCTGTGAAGCTGCAAGCTGTCATAGCTGGGTGCCCACACTGAAGATGCCGGCCTCCTAGAATACAGGACGGCTGGTGAAACGGGCTGCGGGGGACACACCGCGGGACCGAGGGACAGGTAAGTGGCTGTTTTTTAAAAGTCAGCAGCTACAGTTTTTGTACCTGCTGACTTTTATTTTTTGACCTGTGAGTGGAACTCCGCTTTAAAGCTTTGGGCCCATACTGGAGATCCTCGGTGTGCTGGTGACATTCTTCTCCTCTCTCTTGCCTTGAACCTGTGATCTACATAGGTCCACACAGCTCAACTGACATGGTGTGCCCCAGTCTAGGAAGGAATGGGAATCTCTGTGCACAGTGCTGGTCTATGATGTTCTTGTGAAGGCAATGACCCCTCCATGCCTAGTGGAGATCCATGACCTACGTTTCCAGGCCCGATGGAGATCCATGTCCTGAGCCCCCATTCCCATCCCCCCATGGCTGGCCTTATACTGATTCCGGGGTGTCTGGTGCAGGGTGTCCCCTATGAAGGAAAGAGGGCAGTCAGCTCTCACCTCGGCACCGGCTTCGGGGGCTCCTCCAGCCGCTTCTTCCTCTCCAGCATCATGAGATAAGGCCGGAGCCATCTCTTCGTTCCCCTCACCTGGGTGTAACGGGTCCCCAACACCGCCACACACCGCACACCGAACAGCAACGAGGACATTGCAAAGTTTGATGACAGGGGGAGCGGTAAGGAGAATGCACACTTCCTACCGGAACATCAACTTCCGCCCAGATCCGAGATTCATTCGTTCCGCCTCTCCAGGGTTCCCACTGTGCAGAGAGTCAGGCTAAGCCGGGGAACTCTGAGCAGCTGGCTGGTTACCATGAGTTAGCTGAGAATGTTAAGAATGAAATAAAAATAGGTCGAGGAGGAAAAATGGAGGGTTCTATTGCTGGCCTGAGAGAAATCCTAGATGTCTAATGGCCATGCGAACCTTCTGAATTATACAGGTCATACATCACAATTCCGAACAAATTTCTTTCGAATAATCGGAAATCTCCTATTTTTGTAATCTGATGGGCGTCACCACTGATTTTAAGATTCAACCAAACAAGCCTTCAATTTTACCTCATGTTGCTACAGAAAAGAATTTTCGTGGCCAAGAATATTCTTTTTCTTCCAAGGTCACAGCTCATGCTTGTTTCTTTTTTGTTTCTCACACGATTCTCCCATCATTGATTCGAAATGTGTTTGTTTTTCAAAAAATTTCCAACATGCCCGATTACTCAAATTTGATAGTCACACAAAAACCGTCCATTTCTGTGATCCACTAATGGTGCAAATTTGAACGAAAATTCTTAGAAAAGATATTCGAAAGAAAATTATTTTGGAATTCGACCCATGTATGGCTGTCTTTAGGAGACACCAAGGACTCATTCACAACAGAGGTATTCATGGTACCCTGGCTGCCCTTTGTAGCACAGCCCCAATGCAAAGGCCTCATTCATATACTACAGCATATGCCCGTGTGGCCATGTTTACCCTCATGGGGATACACAGCTGTTCTCTGCAGTCCAATTAGGCCTCATTCACACCTGTCCGATGCGTAACATTTTTACCACGTTTGTCGTATGACAGCATAGGGTTGCCCTACATACACCAAAGTAGCTCACATACCTCTGTTTGGCAATGAGCCGAGTGTGATTTGTTGCAGGACAAAGCACTGGAATGCTACTATATTTGGGGGTGCTATTAGGAAATAATGGCACTGCAAGTGCGATTCATATTTTACCACATTGTTTATGTTTCTGGAAACAGAACACTAATGCAGGCCATAGATGGTTCGTTTATCGGGCGATTTTTCTTCCAAAAGAATAATCGGCAGATTTTCGCACTGTTAGTGGGGAATGGCATCGGCCAATTTTTGGGGTTCCTCCTCATATCTTTTATCAGTCATGCTGGAAAATTTGTGAAAAATGGCCGATTTTCGCAATCATTGGTGGCAACAGAACGACCGATGTTTCCTTTTTTCGGATGAAAAATCGGCCAATAAACGAACTGTCCAGGGGCGGACTGACAACTCATGGGGCCCCCTGGCAATAGGGGATCATGGGGCCCCTGTTTCCTTGCCCAAACTCAAAAAAGCCTATGAAAAAAGGTACTAGGGGCATCTCATGGGGCCCCCTACTGACCCCGGGCCCTCGGGCAGTTGCCGAGTTTCCAATAGTCCACCCCTGGAACTGTCTATGGCCTGCATTAGGTGTAAAAGCAGCCTAATGTAGGCCATACATGGATCGAATTCCAAAATAATTTTCTTTAGAAAATCAGAAATTTCCTATGTTTTTAATCCGATGGTGCCACCATTGTTTTTGAAATTCAAACAACCAAAGTTCTGTGGAAATAAAAAAAGTACACAATGTGATGTGCTGGGATCACCGGAGTGAATGGGTCCTGCTGTGAAGTTAACTTCTGACCTTCCTGTCTATGTAATTGCTCCAGGTAGGCCATTCAGAAAATAGGGTGAGAGCTAGGCAGCTAGCATTTTCAGAAGCATATTCATTTCCTGCAGCTTCTGATATGTTTTATCCCTCAGACCCCTGTCCGCTTTTACTGTTGTCTCTGGACTTGTTCTATTGTATCAAAATCTCCATTACTGGACACCCTATTCTAAATTAGGTCTAATTATAAACCTACAGTGCCTTGAAAAAGTATTCATACCCCTTGAAATTTTCCACATTCTGTCATGTGGCGTGCATTTGTATTCAGCTCCCTTGAGTCAGTACTTTCTAGAACCAACTTTCACTGCAATTACAGCTGCAAGTCTTTCTGGGGATAACTCTACCAGCTTTCCACATCTAGAGATACATTTGTTGCCCATTCTTCTTTGCAAAATAGCTCAAGCTCTGTCAGATTGGATGAAGAGCGTATGTGAACACCAATTTTCAAGTCTTGTCACAGATTCTCAATTGGATTTAGGTCTGGACTTTGACTGGGCCATTCTAACACATGAATACGTTTTGATCTAAACCAGTGATCTCCAAACTGCGGCCCCTGGGCCAAATGCGGCCCTTTACTTGCCT